AGCGTGGGACGGAACTCTCACCTTCCGTGTGGAGGCACTCATGTTCCGCTTCTGGAAGGGAAGCAGGAACCATTGTAGATGTCTGGAATGAAGACTGGCCCACGGCACTATTCCTAGGCAAGAAATCATCTTCCCCAACAGCTGTGACAACTGGACAAGGGGAACTACCTTCTCTCTCTGGATCCTGCGAATTAAGGATCTGATCCCATCCCTGCGTTCCTGGGAGAGGTAGACCTCGCATTGGTCTGAATCTATCACCGCCCCTAGATGCAAGATCCGAGTGGTAGGGGTGGTGTGGCTCTTCTTGAAATTTATGGAATGAACTGGACTGAATGATTATATCGTCCAGGTAACATTGTACTCTTACCGGTATTAATCTGAGATGTGCCGCTAATACTGCCCGTATCTTTGTGAATACCCGTGGTGCCGAGGATAGACCGAAGGGAAGTGCCCTGTACTGATAATGTCTGTTTGCATGGCAGAAGCGGAGGAATCTGCGGTGATGTGGTCTGATAGGAACATGAAGGTAGGCTTCTGTCAGATCTATGGAGGAGAAGTAATCTCCCTTCCTGACACTTGCTAGAATGGACCTGAGGGACTGCATTTTGAACTTCCTGTAGATTAGGAAGCGGTTGAGTTCCTTTAGATCTAATATCGCTCTCCATCCCCCTGAGGGCTTGGGAACCACGAAGAGAATGGAGTAGAACCCTTTTCCTTTTTGTTCCGGAGGAACTGATTCTATGGCTCTTATTTCTAATAAGTGTGATATTGCTGTGTCTACTAGTTCGGCCTTGTGTGCGTGTCTTGAGGCGGGGCACTGAAGGAAATGGTCTGGTGGTATGGACTTTAGTTCTAGGGCTAGACCGAATCTTATGGTCTCTCTCACCCAGGTATCGTTTGTGGTGACCTCCCAAGTGTCGCTGAACAGGGTTAAGCATCCGCCTATGGGAGGGTCCAATCTGGCATCACTTAGACCTTCGGAATGGACGGCCTCCCGCCCCCCTGAAGGGTCGCTTGGTCTGGAACTGACCCCTGGCTCCTGAATTCTGGCGGTCCTGTTGGCGATCCTGTCTGGGGGAGAAGGATCGGGAACCTCTGGGTCAATCCCAGGACTGCCCTGATCGAAAGGGCTGCCTCCATTCCCAAGAACTTCTGGCCCTGAAGGACTGCCTGCGAAATTCTTGTTGAGGTCTCCTATCCGTCTTCTTGGACGGATGAGCTATGGTTTTTCTCTTATCCTTCCCTTCAACCAGGTACGGCTCTAGGATTTGGCCAAATAAATTCTTGCCACTGTAGGTGTCTGTAGCAAGACGCCATCTTGACTTTAGGTCAGCCCTCCACTGTTTGAGCCACATGAATCTGCGGGACGCAACTGTGGCTGCAATAGATCTGGCCGAAAATTTGGCGGAGTTGAGGGAAGCATCTGACATGTATTCCGCCGCTGTTACTAGTTTACCTAGAGTATGTTGTGCGCGTACCTGGTCTGGAGGAATTAATGCCTGTAGTTCCCGGAGCCACATGATAGAAGTTCTCACGAAAAAGGACGAGGACGAAGACGCCCTGATGACCCAGGCAGAGGCCTGGTGAGCCCTGCGGAGAGAAAACTCAAAACGTTTATCTTCCGCCTTGAGATGTTCGGCCATGTCTCCAGGAACAGTGGATGTGGAGAACAAAGATGTTAATGGAGCGTCCACTGTGGGAACCTCTAGAAGGGAAGAGAATGCAGAAGATACATTATACAATCTCTTTTCTGTGCTGCTAGGAGAGGGTAGGGTGGCCAGTGAGGTCCACTCTTTTTCCACCGTCTCGTGGAAAACAGCTGGACAAGGAACTTGTTTTTCCTCTACCACCTTTCTAACAAACAAAGGGTTTGACTCTTGTGCAGCCGAGGTAGATGGCTTGGGTTCCTGCTCCGAGACCAGGTTGGCTGTTGTGCAGGCTTTTAACAAAAGAGATTTGAATAAGTTTGGATCAAAAAGCCCCGATGTTGGGGTTGGATCCTGATTTACCTCCTCATCCTCAGACATAGGTCCTTCAGTTGTCACCAGGTCAACAGATTCAGTCTCTCCAAACTGAGATGAAGTCTCAGAAATACCTGAACCCGCTGACTGGGGACGTCCAGTGCGGTCTGCGGGCAAGGGTGGAGAAGGTGAAACCTGTGAGGGACCAGCTGCTAAGGAAGAAGACATGAATTGATTGAAGGCCTGGTGCATAAAGCTCTGAAACTGTTGAGCCCATAAGGATCGCTCAGCTGAAGGCACACCAGCAGCGGTGGTCTCAGGAGTATGCGTACTAATGTTAGCAGGAGAAATGGAAGGCCCTGGCAGAGGGCTTATAGGGATATGTTGTCTAGGGGCAGATAGACTGACCTGTTCAGTTCCCCCTTGAGGAGACCCTGCCCTGGGGGCTTGATAAGACGGCACCAGTGAGGGCTCATAAGGTGAGCTGGCCAGAGAAGCAGGGGGAACCAATTCAGCTTCTCTGGACCTGAGCCTTTGTGCTTTGGAGAACTCTTGCTCCAGTGCCTGTGTCTCCTCGAGGCCTCTCGCTCAGCAGTCTTGGAGGGTTCTTTGGTTGATAAATGCTTGGTTTTAGCTTTTTTCCTTCCCCCCTGTATTTGAATCAGAGGATCTGCGTTTTGCTTGAATGGGGGGAATATCAGAACCCTGCAAAGCCTGAGGAGACTCACCATCTGCCATTGTGCCCAGGCTTTCCAGGTAGGAGACGCCCTGGGGTGGGGGTAACTACGCAGATCAAGTTGTCCGGGAGGGAAGCTTCCCACGCCCTAAGACAACCACAATGGCAAACAGCCAGAACAGCTGTCTAAAACTGTCTGCTGGGCCCTGCCGGCACAGCGCCGGGAGCTAAACAGAACAGGTCAGGAACCCCACAATTTAAGATAATAGGTGTTATTATTGTTATTATTTTTTTTATTTTATTTTATTTTATTTTACTTTTGTAATAAATCTCTGAGAAGCAATGCGTCGAAAAAACAACAGCTAAACCCCCAAGAGGACCCAACGCAGTGAGTCACTAATGCTAGGCCTGAATTGGAGGCAAACAGCAACCTTAAAATGGAGACCAAGCCCAGCACCAAATTCAAAATGGCTGCCACAGGTCTTCTTTGTGCCTAAAAATGGCCTCTCCTCTTAGTCAGAGCTGTAAGACAGCTTCTCCAGCCTCGTCTTTGAAGTCCCCGTTCAGGCAGGCAAAAAGACGGAGGGAACCTTACACACACTTCCCCCCTTACAGCTACAAGGCACCACAAACTACTTGCGATTCTACAGCCTGGGGGAGTCTCTGTGCGATCCTGGATAGAGCCTCGTGGCTACGAGGCAAGAGAGAAGCTCTGGTAATCGGCTGAATTCTCCAGAAACGCTGGCAATAAACATTGTTATCAGACACAAGGGAAGCCTCCCTCGGTGTGCTGAACAGATACTCTGAGCTGAAAAATGCCTCAGTGGCAAAGCTCTGACGATCCACGAGGCCAATTAGGCCCTCTGGAAAGCAACTCTCCAAGGTTGCTAATTCACTATCCTTTACTAAAAAAACAAAAATTATGTAAAGAGTACACTACAGGAAGCTATTTAAACTAACGATTGCTGAGGAGCTAACAAAACTGTGTCCTCTCTGAGCATAGACTAAGACAAAACTGGGAAAGGAGCACCCAAGGGAGGCATGGCTAAAGTTTGGTCTTAGTCTAAATCTGAGCAGGAGGGCTTTGATTACCCAATCAGTGGAGGCTACATCTATCATGCTGGAGAAAGAACTGGAGAAGATAACAAAATACAAAGACCTACAAATAGAAATAGAAAGACTGTGGCAAAAGCAAGCAAGGGTAGTACCAATAGTCATAGGCTCCTTGGGTGCAATCCCAAAACAACTGGAGCACCACTTGAACACAATTGGCATTGACAAATTCGCTATTAGTCAATTGCAAAAGGCGGCCTCATTAGGAACTGCTTCCATCCTGCAACAATATCTGTAATACCATCAAACATCCACATCTGCTATCCCAGGTCCTGCGTAAGGACTCAATAGGTAGACAAAATGCCAAATCCAGTCTGAACATCTGGCTGACTGTGCGATGATCGATAATAATAATAATTTAAAAAAAAGTTGGTCTAGTCCAACCCCCTGCTCAGGCAGGAAACCCTATACCATTTCAGACAAATGGCTGTCCAGTCTCTTCTTAAAAACCTCCTGTGTTGGAGCATTCACCGTTTCTGGAGATAGGTTGTTCCAGTGGTTAACTGTTCTGTCAGGAAGTTTCTCCTTAGTTCTAGGTTGCTTCTCTCCTTGATTAGTTTCCCACATTTCCACCATTGTGACACATGACACGCCTGAGGCAGCTTAAAGAGAAAAAAACCCGGAGTTTGTGTTTCCTTATTTTCTTGCTTTGCACTTGATTCCTGTCTTTAAAGGTACAGGGAAGGGATTGGGGGGTGCATTCTGACTACAGTGGGGAAGAGCTCAGAAGGGCAAACCAGCTAGCTCAGGAGTCTACAAACCTAGCAACTTTAAGACCTGTGGACTTCAATTCCCAGAATTCCTCAACCAGCCATGAGGGCTGAGGAATTCTGGGAGTTGAAGTTCACAAGTCTTAAAAGTGCCAAGTTTGAAGATCCCTGAACTAACTGGTAGTGGTGTATATTAATAAACATGGATAAATTCATCATATATTTGTCAATGCAAAGGGAAAGTGATTCACAAAGGAACAGCCACTGAAGAAATTAAAACTGGTACGTGTTTCTTTTTTTCTACAGTTTGTAATATTTTATTAGATTATAGAATAAAATACAAAAATACAAAAGCAAATAGTAGGACACAGGGGAAGGAAAAGGGGGGGAAAAGTGAGGAGGAGAAGGGAAAAAGAATATATTTCCTCTGTTGCAGTAGAAGGAAGCATTAACACTGAACCTCAACTTTTTACTTTTCCATAATATTACAAACTAGCCATTTCTATAACAACAAATGAATCTAATCAGTAAAACCCCAAATCTCCCCTCCCTTTTTTTAGTCATCAAATTTTTGGCACCTTGCTAAGCACTGATGCTCCTCAAATATTGTCATGTCCTAAAAGTGGTACAATCTATGAAAAGGTTGAAAAGCCCTGCCCTAGAAGATTTGCATGAAGCAACATCAGAGTGATCACTTGGATAGTTGAATTGGATATCCAGTTATGAGGCCACTGCTGTACTCCTATAGAAGTTTTATATATAATTATGTGGATTGTCTGTACATGTTTTCTTTGTCATGTTCTTATCATATGCTAAATAAATAAACTTATGTCTTAGCAATATTGGATTTTATCACCTTGCATACTTATATTGCCCATCAGATGGAAAATTATAGAAAAAATAACATGGAATCATATTAAAATGTAATCTGGATTCCTGGATTTCAAGAGCTACCATTGAACAGTATCTATGTGTGATAAGTTAGTGCCTTGCACTATAGCCAACATTTTCTATTACATCAGTATATTTTTCTATTACATAATCTTTGTCTGTTAAAAACATAATATATGCATTATAATATCATAAATTATGTGCAAAATGCAAAAATACCACTTAGTGCAATCATGCCATTTCTCAATCCTCTGATGCCCTAAACAAGTTTCTGGAAGGCTAACAGTAAGGATGCACACTTAACTTTCCAAACTAAAGGACATGCAACTGAAGATAATTATCTGTGATCTCCACACCTTAACCCCAAGGGACCTGGAATTCATCATGCAATTTTGATATCGTGATCCTACCAAATGGATCAATGGCATTTCTTTTTTAAAATATTATTTATTGCCCTGAGGCCATGTGAAGTTTTATAAGTACTTTAAGTTGCAGTTGAGGACTTTTGGGCAACTGATGCAACTTCCACTAAATAAATGTCACCCTAATTTATTAACATCCCCCTTTATAATAGGATGGTGATATTGTGTGGTTCATTGCTGCCAACTTCCTATTCCATGAAAGCTCTCACAGATACATGAGCAAAACCTGGTAAAGGACACCTTGGCATGTTCTCACCTGCCTGTGTAGCACTCATTGAGTGTCTAAGAGGGCTCAGAGATTGTTCTGCTGTTCGTCTACTACTTTGCTTGCTGTTTGTCTAAGACACTACAAATCTGAAATCTGCCTTTCTTCTTAAGCTCACACATACAGAGCACATGCACTTTGATTCAGCTATCTGCTACGTTTTGCCAACTCCATAATATATTACCTGTAACTTAACCTTATTTTTAATACACTTATAAAACCTGTTCCATCAATCGTTGTTCTGGTCAGATTCCCATTATCAGGGACTCTCACATGCACAGATCATGTTATTTCCCAATGCCCTCTGCATTTTTATTTGGCTCAGTATTCACCTCTTTTGTTCCATCCAAACACAAATCAACACTGTATCCATGCTTGCCAAAAGAAAAACATGAAAAAGCAGTGTCAGTAATTGACAAGCTAATGAATAAGAAAGTACATTCAGAAAGTATTTTATTTATTCTCTGTGCTTCTGCACTCATTTCTACTGGATGATTTGATGGAAACAGGTTGCCATGAACAGCATGGAATTGTACGTATCAGGACTGTGTGGGTGCCATGATTGTCCCTGCTTGCAGGCATACCTAGTGATATTGCAAAGTAGCTGGAAGACTCATGGGAGAACAGTACTGATTACCACACTTGGGCTGGATAGGAACATTTGCTAGTTTATTTGTTGGTGTCATATAATTCATTTTCTAGTTCTGAAAAAGGGAAAATCAAAATCTATTAATTTCATTTTCTGAGTTCTTTTGGTTTAATTTGGGCAGAACTTCTTTTTTTAAAATAGCTTTTAGCATGGAGTCCAAGGACTCTCTAAATCCCTTAGAACAGGCATGTCAAACTTGCAACGTTACATGACATCGCACGATGTATCGTGACTTTTTCCCCATTGCTGGCAATGGGGTGGGCATGGTTTCAGCATGACGCATCCGGCCTGTGGGCTGGTAGTTTGACATGCCTGCCTTAGGATAAGGCACTGCAGGCCATATAGTTCTACTTCCCAATTATATACAGCTATAAAATGGGATGGGGCAATCCCATCTTTCTTTTGTTATTGGTCCTACATTTAAAATCTGAGTTTAGTGATCCAGTTTCCTGTCATTTTGAGTTGAAAAATATTTAAAAGCTATACACTCTAAAATAGGTTTAACACAGAGGAAAAAAAATCCAAATTCCCATCAAAAAGCCCCTCTTGAAAGAAAATATTATTTTGCATCGTCATCCCTCCGAAATAGTTCAGTGTAATCTATAGCTATCAAAATGTTGCCCATCTCCACTAGAGGATATCCAAATCCTGAGGTGGAAAACTGAGAGCACCATAGCAAGGAAAATCTAGTATGGTCTACTTTAAAGCCTGACCAACATTATATAACATTAAGAACTCTTTCAGGAATAGGTTTTTGTTTTTTTTAAGAAAATGAGGATACACTGCAACATTTTGCAGTAATTGTCACTCATTTTACTTTGTAAATTTGAACAATCATTTGCTTCTCTGTAGTTTTAACTTTGCAGGTATAATTGTATTTATTTATTTATTTATTCATTCAACGTGTCTTTTTAAAAATGTAAAATACAAATAAACTCCCAACTTCTAGGAATACATTTTAAAAGTCCCATCTAGACTCCCAACTTTGAAAATAAGTCCTATATGTAGGATTTTAATAAACAAACTGAAATGCTAATAAGCAAGTAAATACATACACAGAGAAGGTTAAGAAAAAATAATCAAATCCGTCGATAACGATCTGCCTCTGGACTTTCTTCTTTCATGAGACAGCCTGGCTGATACATGAGATCCACAATAAATATTTGAGGGGGAAGCAGAAGTCCAGGTATTCCCAAAGGAGAATCATCAACCAATTTCACCTCATTCCACCCTCTATTATATTCACCACGGTATAGGCTGCAATTAATAGCAATTCTGTCTGCCAGAACCTATGAAAGGAAAGAATAAGAATACCTTTATTTTCTTTTATATTTGTGGATTGCCATTCTGATAGAATTAAATCTACTTTGCTGCCATCTAGAGATCCTCAAGATTCCTGTAGCCCTAAATTTCTCATTACAATGTAGACAGAGACACATTGATAATAATGCTTTATAATTTGGTATGCTAATGGTTAAAAGAGAAAAAGAATAAGTCAATTGAATACTATTTAATGAAGAAATATTGGGGTCAATAAAGAGCCAAACAGCAGTTAGTTTCAGTCAGTCCACAGAGAAGACACATTTTCATCCCTCCTTCTGAGAATTCACTAGAAGAATGACTGCAGATGGAAAGATTATTGAGCTTATTACCCCTGGTCTTTGACATGTTATTTTTAAAATTATATTCCTCACTGCATCATACAGTGAAAATAACTTGGCTTCTTAGTCAACAATTTGGAATCAACTGCATACAAAGTACATATATATTTAAATCTCTAAACACTTCTAATAATTGTGAGTATTTCTTATATATTTATCAATAAATAGAAGGATTAATTTAAAAGCAATGCCTCTAATGTTACAACTTGCCAACAGATAATAGTTCTGATGCACTAGAAGTTCTGACAGTTGTTCTTTTACTTCAGCAGGAAATTGCTGTAAGAAAAGTTTGTTTTGGTATTGCCTACTATTTTTCAATATTCTGATAGCATTTATTACTTCCTTTTCATCAAACATGTATAACATTTATTCAGTGCTATTCTTTGACATTTATGGTAGATATCTTTATCAATCTATTATCAAGCCTTACTCTACAGATTTGGTCAATATTGTTATTTCCATATTACAGAAAACAAAATGTGATTAAGAAAGTATGTCTAGTCTTCCCGTGATTTTTTTTCTGATATAAAATGTGCTCTTTGTTTGACTCATAGCAGTGCTTGTCATTTCATACATAGAGCTTTTTCTGTTTATTTTCACTGTCACATTGTATTTGCTTTGCCTATATGTCCATTGAAGATTTTAAATGGAGCTTATAAAGCAATGTACAGTAGAAAAATGCATACCTATTGATTGGAAATCAGTACCAAGTATGAGCAAAAATATTGTACACATGGAAAAAAGTGAATACTACAATCTGAATACTACAATACAGTACTTACATTGAATCTAATGGAATAGTAGCATATACTGCATATTCATGACAACTAAAAATATGCAACTTAGAGTAGCATTTTTGATTAGCTACTTAGTTAATTTGTTTTACCTTGAAAAGCAAAGCTCTGTGGTAGAAGGTCCCTTTGCTGATCTTCCCAATAGGTACCACATTGCATTTAAGCTCATATTCAATTTCACTTATATGAAGCTCCCAGCTGAATTCATGTAGATTGTCTCTTTCAATGGGACCACCCAACCTATCTGCAACAAACCTGTTTTCAAATCAGACAAGGTAAATTAAATCTACTTTCTTGTCATACCAATAATTCTGCTTTTTGACAAATATTTGCATTGAGTTCATAGTGGATTCTTTCACAGGTCATAATTAATTTGTTTGCCCCTGGGGGAATTATTTGGTGGCAATAGATTCCAGGATCACATAGATATTGATCTGATCTAGCAAGACAATTTGATGTTCTAAGCATGCATGTCCAACTTTTTGGCTTGCCTGGACTGCATTGATTGAAAAGGAATGTCTTGGGCTGCATATAAAAAATAAATGTATATAAATCACATAATAATATTAAAGGTTTATGGTCTAGTAGGGCTGCATTACTAGCTATCTAGGGTTGCACGCAGCCTGTGGATCATAGGTTGGACATGCCTGTTCTAAAGGATTCCATTCTTTGGATATGTGAGGGTGGATTGTGGTTTCCACAACTTTGGAACAATACTCTTTATTATTTGTCCAAATGGTAATAAAGTGAAAGGATAAGAGTAATAACTAATGGAAGGCATGAGACTTTAATTGTTTGCAGGCTACTTAAGAATGTTTTTGCATTCTGTAATATAACATTTTCAGGACCTATTTCTAAGGAGCTAAAATAGCAGGTTTTGAGATGCTTTCATTTAATGTTACATTTTTATTCCTTTGAAGATGTCAGATTGCTAATGTAATTTCCTTTCTTATTTTAAATCTAGCAATCATATGAGGTTGATCAGGATTGAAAGAATGATTTCCTGAAAGCCATTCACTAATTTTAATGATTAAATTAGTATTTAAAATCCCAGGACTATTGATCTACAGCTTCCACACATACTGTAAATTCCAGATGTTGTTACAAATCACAACTTCCATCATCTCCACCTAGCATGTTTAAGGATTGGGGGGCATGAGGAATTAAATGCTACCATTCAGCAACCTAAGGATGGGAATCATCTCTTAAGTTTGCCATTATGTTTCACTGGCTCTCAACTCTGTTTGGCTATTTCTCACCTTTTTTGTCTTGATTGTCTAAGAAGAAAAACATGCAATTTAAACACACACTTCTTTGTTTCAGCTATGCAAATTTAGCCACATAGAAGCAATTTCCGTGCTATTCTGGATGCTCAAGACACAAATGACAGTCTGGCAAATAAAAGTATATTACATTCATCATAGCCTATTGTAGATGTATGCTAAAGATTTGGTGATAGATGAAAATATTAATAGTCTGTCTGATAGATTCTGCACATCAACCAGTACAGGTTATTTTTTTTAGAAATATTCCTTTGTTTAATATTGAGATTCATAAAATATCAGTTTATTAGGTTGGTTGGCAAATAGCACACTTTGAACAAATTGTGATTGAGGACAATTTAGGACAATAAAGGCATCTAAACAGCTTTTTTCTCATAGAGGGCTCAATAAAGAATGTTCGAACATTCCTTATTGAGCCCCCTATGAGAAAAAAGCTATTTTAGATGCCTTTGTTGTCCTAAATTTATTCAATCACAATATATATAGTTTACTGCAGTAAAGTGAGACATGCAGCTTTTGGCTCAGAGTGGACAGCAGAAACTGATCAGAGCGGTCAAATTGGTATTCCAAGATAGGTTGGCAATGGGCATTTTTAATAATTAGCAAGCTTAGTTTGGCATAGCAAGCCTGTTCCACAAATGAATACATGGCAGAAACAGAATGGAGTATAATAAGGAAAATGAAGCACAAACTGGAATCCAGAGGTTCCATGTAGTCTATCAGCATCCTTCTGCAGGCCTCATATTCAGAGCCAAATATTTTGAACTTCTCTTTTTTGCATATTTGGAATAGGAAATGTTTAAAGGACAAAAAGAATGCCTTAAGCCTCATTTAAACTACTCAAGCTGCACATGGATCCCAAGATGGCAGTTCTAGCTACTTGATTTAAAGCCTAACCATTCTTCTATCTGTGTCCTGTGTGTGTAGTGCATATAAAAGGGGGCTGGACTTCAACTGCATGGTCATGATTGAAGGCTGCCCTGCCTCTATGAATGCCCTTGGCCCAATGAGCATTGCCCACCTACTGCTCAAGAGCAACTCTCAACATATTATACTAAATCTGGAATGGCCCTTGAGTTGATGGAAATTTTGCACTTTGAACCTAATATTCTGATGGAATTTTTGCCAAAGAAAAGAATACTGAAGAGAAATGGCCAAACTTTATTCAATGATCCTTAGGTGCCTGCTTTGCAAGAAAGAACTCTGAATAATAGAAAGACACAGATTTTGATACTTTTTGGAGTTGAGAGGTGGGAAATCTAAATAAGTTAATTCATGGACACAATTTAAGCATGAGACAGATATTTAAATAAAGGAAAATGTATTTTTCAATTGTAAAGCAAAGCTGCTAAGAATTCCATTGTTGAGAGGATAGAATGTTGAGATCATCAAGCATGCACACTTGATTAAGATGAAACATCTCTGATTTCTCATCTCTTGCTTCCTAGATAAACTTTTAGGTGATAGAATTAAAGGCTATCTTGGCATGTTTGAATTATGCATTAGTCTGGCCTGGCCTAATTTATGTATGCAATTGGGGGGCAGAGACTGCAGAGGGAAATGGGGAAAAAGTTTGCATCAGGAGTGGTAGAGGAAAGCGGGGGACAGAAAGAAGAGGCAAAGAGACTTTGGAGAAGAATTTGCAGCTTTATTATTTTAATTCCTCAGTCATGATGCTATAAAAACCTCTTTTCCCATGAAACCCTTTAAACAGTTTTTATTTGCTTTATTCCTTTTGTATGAGTAAGTCACTTTGAAAATCAATTTAAATAATGTTCTATCTCTATAACTACTACAAACATACCCTAAATTATCTCCCAACAGATTAACAGCCGTATCATATTTGTGGAAAGTGTGCAAAATAGAACACAATGGAGATTCCAACCAATAGACAGCCTAAATAAATTGTTTGAAAGATTCCTTTTGCATTGCTAGCATATGCATTTGAGATACTCACTGTGCAAGAGCTACCACTTGCTCTTTGCTGGTTGGTAGTGGCAGAATTGTTCTGGAAATCTCAGTAATATAATCATACAAGACGGGGTCAAAAGGGGGGATCCATAAAGCTTTTCCTGGGGTTTCAACTATTTTAGGTATGGATGCTTCCAAGTCCTCATCTTTTGGTTTTTCTTCTTCTTTTTTCCCTTTTCCCTTCCTTTTGTAAAAAGGCAATACTGATGATTAGAAACACCTTTGTTTCCAAAACTTTTTTTAAATCAGCATAGAAAGGACAGAGGCTCATTCTTTTCCAAGGTAGATAACAAAAGAAATATTTCTGTCATCTTAGAATTTTCCAGCACTTTTTAATGATCTCTCTCTCAAATGAATATTTTGGGGTTTCTTCCTACATATTCTTTCATAAGGAAGCAACTCCAGAGTTCCAAAGATTTTAGCTATCAGCCATAAAATATTTATATTTCCTACCACCAATAGTGCAGGTGTGACTAACATGGGACAGGTCTTTTTCAGTTAACTCCCAGATTATGATCCAGGAGTTTCTTATGATCCCCATCTGGAAAGCTTTCAATGTATTTATTAGAATATGCACATTTTGTGAGAAAATTCAGACTGAAAAAATTCCACAGATATATAATACTTAATCATACCCACTGGTAATGGTTTATTTGATTCTGGCAGTCCTTAAGTGGCTTTATGGTAATGGTGGAACTGGAACTTGCATAAATTCAGTCATTTAAGGATATTAAAGCTCTAATGAAAAGAAAGAATTTTTTAAAAAAAAAATCTGAAAAGACAGGAAAAAGCAAGAAAGCACACACTCAAAAAAGTAGAGAACAAAAATATAAATGCAACAATGAGAGAATCAGTAAAGCTTATTCAATGAATCAAAGGAAACCAAGTACTCTAAAACTGTTAAAGCACATGATCAATTTATTATCTATGCCCATCCTAGATATGCAATATAGCTCTGAAGAAGGCTGAAAAGTGCTTCTTCCCATATATTATACCTGAGGCCCAAGGTCATAATTTGCAACCTTATTCTGAAATAATGACTGGGTCTTTTTAGCAGTAACCTTATAGCCACAAAACATCTGCCTAATTCTTATTTTATTATCTTCTCACTGACAAATGTAGATTTTTGAACATTAATTTAGACCTTTTAATTTCCTTCTGCTGCTAAACTGTTTGTGTTTTTAAACAGCATTATCCCTATGATGTTTTAGTCACTGAACTTTCAAATACCAGTTATTTTATTATATTTTATTTGTGATTTTATTAGTGTCATCCTGAGAGCCTTTACCTGCACAGCCACTAATAAACTACTGGAAATACAAGACCACTAATCTACTATAGGGTAAATGAAGTAGGTTGGTATCGGACAAATATGTTACAGTGACACACTTAAAACAGTTTGAAACAATTAATAGCTGCACATTTTTCTGAGTGATTTGGAATTACTGGGTTTAACTGAACTGAATCATGAGATTGCCACACAGAAATTATCATGGCTTTGGTTTCATTTAGGTGCTTTGCAGTAACTTTTAAAATGTTAAACTTTTAACAAAGGATCTAAATTCTCAGCACTATTTCTAAACAATCTGAGACCTGAAAAAAAGATTAATATAAGAAAGATTTATATGATCTAAAGAAAAACCAGAGTATAAGAATAATATAAGGAGGATGGACCCAGATGAATGGTATTTTTCCATGCTAGATTGTTTTGGTCACATGTAATTTGGTAAAATTACTGAAAATTTAGTAAAAATACTGAAAAAAAAGGTCTGGGAATATTCAGAAGTGGAACATTTCAATTATATTCTGTGACATGATGAGCGTGCAGGAAAATCCACTAAGAAAAAAATATTGGCTGAAGCAACAGATGGAAACTAATCAAAGAGAGAAGCAACCTAGAACTAAGGAGAAATTTCCTGACACTTAGAACAATTAATCAGTGAAACAACCTGCCTCCAGAAGCTGTGAATGCTCTAACACTGGAAGTTTTTAAGAATGGAAAGCCATTGTCTGAAATGGTATAGGATTTCCTGCCTGAGCAGGAGGTTGGACTAGAAGACCTCCAAGGTCCCTTTCAACTTTATTACTAGTAGTAGTAGTAGTAGTAGTAGTAGTAGTAGTAGTAATAGTAGTAAAGTTGGAAGGGACCTTGGAGGTCATCTAGTCCAACCCCTGCTCAGGCAGGAAACCCTACACCATTTCGGACAAATGGCTGTCCAGTCTCTTCTTAAAAACTTCCAATGTTGGAGCATTTACTGCTTCTGGAGGCAGGCTGTTCCACTGATTAATTGTTCTCACTGTCAGGAAGTTTCTCCGTAGTTCTAGGTTGCTTCTCTCCTTGATTAGTTTCCACCCATTGCTTCTTGTCCTGCCTTCAGGTGCTTTGGAAAATAGCTTGATTCCCTCTTCTTTATGGCAGCCCCTGAGATATTGGAATACTGCTATCATGTCCCCCCTTGTCCTTCTCTTCGTTAAACTAGACATACCCAATTCTAGCAACCGTTCCTTATATGTTTTAGCCTCCAGTCCCCTAATCATCTTTGTTGCTCTTCTCTGTACTCTTTCTAGAGTCTCAACATCTTTTTTACATCGTGGTGACCAAAACTGGATGCAGTATTCCAAGTGTGGCCTTACCAAGGCATTGTAAAGTGGTATTAATACTTCACGTGATCTTGATTCTATCCCTCTGTTAATGCAGCCTAGCACTGTGTTGGCCTTTTTGGCAGCTGCAGCACACTGCTGGCTCATATTTAGGTGATTGTCCACTAGGACTCCGAGGTCCCTCTCACAGTTACTACTATTGAGCAAGGTACCCCTATACTATACCTGTGCATTTGGTTTTTCTTGCCTAAATGTAGAACCTTACTTTTTTCACCATTGAATTTCATTTTGTTAGATAGCGCCCAGTGTTCAAGTCTGTCCAGATCCTCCTGTATCTTAAGCCTGTCTTCTGGAGTGTTGGCTATTCCTGCCAGCTTGGTGTCGTCTACAAATTTGATGAGTTCCCCATCTATCCCTTTGTCCAAATCATTGATGAAGATGTTGAAGAGCACTGGGCCCAGAACAGAGCCCTACACACTTCCCTCCATATAGATGCAGTTCCATTGAGAACCATACGCTGAGTACAGCCGGTCAGCCAGCTATGGATCCATCTGGTGGTGATTCTGTCTACCCCACATTTTTCTATCTTATCAAGTAGTAGGTTGTGATCTACTTTATCAAATGCCTTACTGAAGTCCAAGTAAATTATGTCCACAGCATTCCTCTGATCCACTAATTTTGTCACTTGGTCAAAGAATGCAATAAGATTTGTCTGGCATGATCTATTTTTGACAAACCCATGTTGGCTTTTAGTAATGACTTTGTTTGCCTCTAGGTGTTCGTTGATTCGTTGTTTGATTATCTTTTCCAGGATCTTCCCAGGTATTGAGGTCAGGCTGATAGGTCTGTAATTTCCTGGATCCATTTTTTTTTCTTTTTTGAGGATGGGAACTACATCAGCTCTTTTCCAGTCCTCTGGTAGTTCCCCTTGTTCCAGGATCTTTGAAAAATATAGTTCAGTAGCTCCGATATCACATCTGCCAGTTCCCTGAGAACCTGGGGTGTAATCTATCTGGTCCTGGTGATTTGAACTCATCTAGGCTGGACAGGTGCTCATTTACCATTTTCTTGCTTATCTTAACTTGTGTTTCTATTTTGTTTTTTATGGCACTATTTTTGATAGATTGGTCTGTTTTTTCCCTTTGTGTAAAGACAGATCAAAAACCGAATTAAATAGTTCTGCTTTCTCCCTGTTGCTTGTCACCTTCTTGCCACTTCCACCCACTAATGGACCAATCATTTCCTTCACTTTTTTCTTGTTTTTTACATGTTGAAAGAAGCTTTTTTTGTTATTTTTGACTTTGGTCGCAAGCCTTAGTTCATTTTGAGCCTTGGCTTTCCTCACTTCATCTTTGGAGGCTTGGGCTATTTGCTGATATTCTGACTTAGTTATGTTCCCTTCTTTCCACTTTCTATACTTGTCCTTTTTATCTTTCAATTTGTCAGAGAGTTCTTTATGCAGCCATGCTGGTTTCTTTTGAAAGTTGTTGTTTTTCCTCTTTGTTGGTATTGTGCTAAACTGTGCTTTTATTATCTCATTTTTCAAAATTTCCCAAGCTTCTTGAGTTGTTTTCCCCTTGAGATTCTCATCCATGGAATACTTCCCAAGCCCTCTCTAAGTTTATTGAAATTAGCTCTCTTGAAGTCCAAGACTCTAGTTTGACTGTGTTCTATTGCTTGTGCTTCCATAATGATGAATTCTAATATTGCATGATCACTTCCTCCCAGGGTTCCTATGGCTTCAACACCTTCTATCATTTCATCTCTGTTAGTGAGAATTAAATCCAAAATGGCTAATCCCCTAGTTCCCTTCTCCACTTTTTGGGATACAAAGTTGTCTGCTAGGTTTGCCAGGAACCTGTTTGATCTTCCACTTGGTGCGGAGTTTGTCTTCCAGTTGATGTCAGGGTTGTTAAAGTCCCCCATTACTATTGTTATGTGCTTCCTACATACCTTAATTAGCTGACTAGCAAAAAGTTCATCTATTTCCTCTGTTTGGTTGGATGGTCTGTAGTATACACCTATGACAATGTCATTTCCCCCTCCTTTTATATTGACCCAAATGCATTCAAGACAGTTTTTATCATTGTTCTGCTCTTTTTCTGTAGAGATGTAGTTATTTCTTATATAGAGAGCAACTCCACCTCCTCTTTTATTTGGTCTGTTTCTTTTAAATAATTTAAATCCCTCTAGCTGTGTGTTCCATGTGTGGGTTTCATCCCACCATGTTTCCGTAATGGCAACAATATCGTATCTGCCCTCATTAACCTGAATTTCTAGTTCACCGTTTGCTATTCATACTCTGTGCATTGGTGTATAAACATTTGAGTCCTTTGTGAGTGGCCCTGTGTTTCCTTTCTACATAACCTGTGTGGTGCCTGAGTTCTCCTATTGTCTTACCACCTATTTGGTTAGTACACTTTGTGTGGCACTCGCTATTAGAGGCTTCATTTTGCTTGATAGCAAGGTTGGTATTCTTGTCCACACACACATCTATGCTACATGCACTGATAGCCCTATAATTTTTAGATTGCCGGGGACAGGGTTGTTCCGTATCAATTAACTTCCTGTCCCCGCTGTTTACTTTAAATTTCCCTCCAGAAAATCTGTGAATTTATAGCCGAGTAACTCAGTCCCTTTTTTTGATGGATGCAAACCATCTCTTTTGTACATCTTTTGATTGGACCAGCTACTGACATCGTGACTAATATATCCAAAGCCTTCCCCTTTACACCACTCCTTTAGCCACATATTGAATTGTGTTATGCACTGGCCTAATTATTATTATTATTATTATGATGATGATGATGGATCATCGCACAGTCAGCCAGATGTTCAGACTGGATTTGGCATTTTGTCTACCTATCGAGTCCTTACCCAGGACCTGGGATAGGCAGATGTGGATGTTTGATGGTATTACAGATATCGTCGCAGGATGGAAGCAGTTCCTAATAAGGCCGCCTTTTGCAATTGACTAATAGCGAATTTGTCAATGCCAATGGTGTTCAAGTGGGGCTCCAGTTGTTTTGGGATTGCACCCAAGGAGCCTATTACTATTGGTACTACCCTTGCTTGCTTTTGCCACAGTCTTTCTATTTCTATTTGTAGGTCTTTGTATTTTGTTATCTTCTCCAGTTCTTTCTTGTCTATTCTGCTGTCTCCAGGCACTGCCACGTCTACTATCCAGACTTTTTTGTCTTTCTTATCGACAATTGTTAAGTCCGGGATGTTATGTTGCAGGTGTTTGTCTGTTTGAATTCTGAAGTCCCAGAGCAGTTTAATTTTATCATTTTCTATGACTTTCTCTATTATTATTATTATTATTATTATTATTATTATTATTATTATTATTATTGATCATCGCACAGTCAGCCAGATGTTCAGACTGGAATTCGCATTTTGTCTACCTATCGAGTCCTTACCCAGGACCTGGGATAGGCAGATGTGGATGTTTAATGGTATTCCAGATATCGTCGCAGGATGGAAGCAGTTCCTAGTAAGGCCGCCTTTTGCAATTGACTAAATTTATCAATGCCAATGGTGTTCAAGTGGTGCTCCAGTTGTTTTGGGATTGCACCTAAGGAGCCTATCACTATTGGTACTACCCTTGCTTGCTTTTGCCACAGTCTTTCTATTTCTATTTGCAGGTCTTTGTATTTTGTTATCTTCTCCAGTTCTTTTTCGTTGTTGTTGTTGTTGTTATTATTATTATCAGTCTGCCTAACATGGATGGGCTATTTGCTACAATTAATATTGTTCTCTAAGTTCATTTATCTATTTAAGTAGAAAAGGGCTTCATGTTGATTTGAGCAAGAAAAGGCAGAGTTGTGACAATCTGCAAAAGGTAACAGAGACTGTTTGAACTATGTTATATATGGTAGCGGAAAGCAATATTATGCTGATCAACTTTCCTGACCATACAATTACTTTAGTGCATTATCTATGTCTTTGCTAGATTTCTACCATGGATTCAAAATTGTCAAATTACATGCACCCCTAGTAATTGAAATACTATTCCACTGTATCCATATTTAGCCCTGCTTCTTTTCTCTCTCCTTTGTTTGCTTCCGAGAGTTTGTTTTTAGAATGTAGGCCCTCTTTACCCTCTTTACCCTCAAGCTTTAAATAAGAATATCAGTACCTTGATCCTTTCTCTCTAGAGGTTCCTTTACTGATTGAAGAAGACCGTCCTGGTGAGTCTGGTTTTTCATCCAATGAACTATCAAAATTACAAAATAATTGCCAATATCTCTTGATTTCTGTAAGGCATAGGAATTCTTAAGGAACTGAGAGGAGAAGGGAAGCATTATTAAGAATCCTTGGGGGCCTTCCAAACAAAATCAATAGGCAAAAGAATTATTTGGGGAAGAATCCTTTCCTTGCTCTGCAAGCAAATACAGTACTAAAAACTTATATTCCATATTAATTTAATTATTCCATGTTTTATAACTATTTGGCTAAATAATTAATTTTAAAATTATTTAAATCAGTTCAGTCATATTTGCAATCAGTAGGCACCTTAAAAATACATCACCCCGAAAGGATCCACGGTGTAACTATCCTTGTGAGAGAGGTGGGATATAGTCCCATTACAGTGCTTTGATAGAACACAAATTCTTCTCCAATTTGTTTGTGTGGGGGGCTAGATCTTTCCTAATCATCTTATCCAGACATACTGTTATGTATGAAATACAGAAAGATGCTTTCAGAGAAAAAGTGCAGGGACAGAAAGACAGGTTTCTATTTTATTTGGAGTATACAATACTCCTTTTTGTGTCCACAACAGCCCTTGTTTCCTTTTTTGTTTTTAGTAAAAGCAGTAGCAAAAATATATTCTTAATTACACCAATTGTATTAAAATAAGTTAGTTGACATTTGATCACATTAAAACAAGTGTGACATGTTACTTTTTTTATTCCTCTACAGTAAATATCCATAAAGACTCACTGAATCTGATAAGAGCATTTGCAGAGGACTAGAAGTATAACAATCTAGTTTTAATCCAATCCATTTAATCTTTTGGGCAATTATTAAAAAGTCATCTACTATGCAATAACAAATAACAAGCTAGCCTTATAGAGGCAGCCATTCAGTAGAGATACAGTAATAAAATATATGACTATGTAAATTATTGAGTGCCTGTGTATATAGATAGATACACACATATATAATTTAACAATGGTAAATGCATTTCATTACATGTTTGAATCAGGAAATATATGTTACTACTGATAATATAATATCCTTTTAGCGTATTTCTATTATTGCATTTAAATCATGTTTTGTAAGTGTCTTAAATGATTATACAGTACAAAAGACACAAGGGCTATCTCGATTGTAATTGAAATCAGAGTAGGGGAGATGCAGGTATCAAATATCCATTGGTGTTAATCTTAATGCTGTGTAATATTGACCCTAATTACTAAATAAAAATATATACAACATTATGTGAATTGGTAAATCCAATGTATGCTTTGGTTACTACTTTGCTTAGTATCACTTATGAATAAATGCATTTTCCAGCTTTTGTATGTAGATGATAACACTCTGGGTAATTTTCTAAGTCTGGAAAATGTACTAGTGCTATTAATGTTTTCAGTTATTTTCTGGACACAGAATACAATATATAGTATAGGTAGTCCTCAGCTTACAATCATTCATTTAGTGACCATTCAAAGTTATAATGACACTTATGACCATTTTCCAAATTTATAACCACTGAAGCATCCCCACAGTCACATGATCAAAATTTGGATGGTTGGCAGCAAGCATGTATTTATGACAGTTGCAGTGTCCTGGCATCATGTGATCACCTTTTGCAACCTTCTGACAAAATTAATGGGTAAACCAGATTAAAGAACATGTTATTAATTTAACGAGAGTGATTCACTGAATAACTGTGGCAAGAAAGATTGTAAAATGGAGAAAAGCTCACTTAACAGCTGTCTTGCTTAGCAATGGAAATTTGGGGTTCAGTTGTGGTTGTAAGTCAGGACAACTTAGATGTAGCTTTTACTAGAAATCACCATCCTGCTAGAGTCAGAACAAATAGAAAATATTCCATAAACTCTTGTTTACCAATTCCTTAAAACCTCAAAAGGACCTTGATGCAGGAACTTAGCATTCTAGTGGAATCTATCTTAACCAGCATGGCAGAATAGATTATTCTTATGCCACTATGGTGGTTAGGGTGAATGGGATTACATAAAGTTAAATTGGTGTCTAAATGGTGCCATGAGATTTTTAAATTTGAGAAGAATCTGTATTTCACAGAAACTTGAATAGTTTTCTTATTTTAGATCATCGTTCTTATTTCAAGCTCTGATAAAGTGGTTTGATTTTTCTAAAAAGAAATCTAATTTATACATTTTTAAATCTACAATTAATCAAAGAAAAAAAAAGAGCAGTTACAAAAATTTAGATACTTACTTATTTCTGCTAGATCTCCTGATATTGCTGGCAGACACCCCAATTCGAGAGGCTGTGGTCTCTTGTGGCTTTTCCTCAACTGGAATGGAAATTACTTGTTGTTCACTGAAACAGAAAGGATGTTATCATATCAGACATTCTGCTTATTGCTCAGAATAAAACATCTGAACATTCTTTTTCAGTGCTGCTGAGTTTAGCCTAAGAAAATTCAAAAAGGTTGTTTCTAAAGATATTAAATATAGTAAATTATGGAAACTGGGACAGAGCAATTAGTAACAATGAGATTTTAGAGTGGAAAATTGATATGAAATTAAGAAATATTGTAATTTCATTTTATGTACATAGACACAATTTTTCTCTATATATGTATATTTATGTGTTATACGTTCAGTTTCCTCCTATCACTTCTATTTTTTTGTGTACTTAAATCCTATTTTTATATGGATATTCCCTGCTGTTGATATGGATGAATGCTTCAACCTAAATTATGTAATTTGAGAAAATGAATATTTCCTAAGGCAATCACAGAAATGATTCTGCTTACAGACTGGTGTTGACTGAAACTAAAAGATTAATTAATGAGCTGTGTAGAGAGCAGGAAATGTGAATACTGAGAATTTAATGTACTCCAATTTGTGTGTCCTTTCCCCCACCACAAGATAAGATTGTTTTAAATAGCACTTAGATTTATATACCACTTCACAGTGCTTTACAGCCTTCTCTAAGCAGTTTACAGAGTCAACAAATTGCCCCCAGCAATCTGAGTCCTCATTTTACTGATCTCAGAAGGGTGGAAGGCAGAGTCAACCTTGAGTCAATCAGAAGTGAACTACAGAATTGAATAGCAGAATTAGCCGGGAATACTGCATTCTAACCACTGTGCCACCATGGTTAGATTAATATTAAGGTATATTTTAAAAAGCTGAATTTCAAAGCTTTAAGTTTATGAAAAGAAATATTAAAAATTCAGTGTTAATGTAACCATGCTCTTTAACGGTCTGCTGGAATGATCAGGGTTTAAATAGCTGATCAGCTATAAAGTTTCTCAGATGAACTATCATCAGCTGTCTACCAATCACCTGAAAGAGATGTTGTAAGATTAACATGACGTGCTATACAGGTAATGGAGCCTGCCCATTTCGGTCATAAGGTGGGAGGACATTAATTGAAACTTGTTAAATGAAAGAGCCCTCATCCTGGATCACCCCAAAAGGGAATACAGCTGCTTTGCCTTGTTTGAAACCTGACCTGGAAGGCAAAGCTCCACTTACCGCTCCCTCTGCATCGCCCTTTCAACATTTAACCCTTTATTGTCTGTTCTCTGTCTCACTACCATGCAGAAAGGCAGAAGGTGGGGGAAATTCTGCTTTGCCAAGATCAATGGCTGCTCTCCATGGCCCAGTAAGAACTGCCCACCATAATGAATTCTGCAGATCTCTAGAAGGTAAACAAGGCATTGTAAGGGGTGGAACAGGAAGGCAAAGCAGGCTCAGTGCCTTTGGGAACCCAGCAGAATGGGTCCCCAAAGAATGGGAGGGGGGAAGAGATAGGTGGGTGTGCTTCAGCATCTCTGCAAAGTTATGAAGCCCCTGGTCATTCATAAGTGCAAATGACCGGATAACTTTTGTAAATTCTTATCTTCAAATCATAGTCATACATGGCTTTTAGGAGGTCTTTTGTAACTTTGAACACTTGCTATATGATCTGTCATACCTTGAGGATTACCTGTAAACACTGCCTTTAGAGTAAAGAATTATTGCAGACCTGTAAACCTCTTAGCAGAAAGAGAAGGTTTTTTGGAGCAAGACATTCCAGGATATTTCATGAACAATGAAAAACTTTTGCCTGAGGCCTTGGAGAACTGAATTAGCTGGCTTCAGACAAAGTCAATTATTAAAGCCTCTATAATAATCTTATTAGTAGACTCACAGTTCTGATAGTTTAGCATTTATTAAAATTATAGCACGATGATCATTAAGCTCCTGAACACAGAGTTCCTCCAGTGACAATAGTTTTTCACCAGGTTTCACCTATAAAAAAATTTCAATAAAGTGCATGATATAAATTGTCTGCCATCTCTAGGAAGTTTACAAAAGTTATTGGGAACTCTTGCTATTAATATTATATTAATAGTATTAATATTAATGTAGTATTAAGCACATAGGAAGAATGTTCATGAATAAAATGCCTAAAACAAAATTCAGCTTCATTTTAGCATATGAAGATTTAGAATTATATACAAACTGAGAATTTCAATTTAAAGTAAACTCTAGTTTATTATTAATAATAAAAACAAACAAAACTCAAGAGTTTATTATTGATTTATTTAAATCTGGCAAGAGGTTGTTTTAAATTACAATGTGTTTTTTACTTAATAAAATAATATCTATTGAAGCCAGTTTTTGTTTCTTTTAAATGACAATTTTTTATTATTGTGCACCATATCTATTAAACTGTTTTTGAATTTTTGAACTTGAATTATATTTTACTGTGTGAATAGCATTAAACTATTTTAAAAACCTGTTAAAAATATTTATGATTTTACTGTTCATGTTTTGAATGATTGTTTGTTCTTCGAGACATGTTACAAAATTAGTATTTTTAAAAACATCAGCAATAAAGTATACATTAATGATTGAATGGATTCAAATTCATGTTCATCTTTCAGCAAAAAATAATAATAATAAAGCCATATTATATGATCAAATCATGGAACAAGTAATAAATTATTTATTTATTTATTATATATTTATTTATTATATATATTACAATTATTTCTGAAGTTTTTTAATCTTTTAAAAATAAAGTAACATATATATTAAAAATTTTAAATAATCCAACTAAGAAAAGTGTACCAAAGTAAAGTATTAAAAAGCTGCTTTATACCTATATTTAACAGTAAAACAAGAGCAGATAAACCTCAGACCTATTTATACGTGATAATAAATGACAGTTTATCATTTATCCTCACATGATCCAGATGATGGGAAGTAAAATGCAATGAGCTATGTCATAAACATTCTTTTCTTGCTATGATCTCCTATGTACTAGTGATGCTAACTAATGATAGGATTCCATATCTTTGTTTGATTTGCAGTTCTCTAAAGACACTTAATGTATGCTTAAAGCAAGTTTACCTGCCCATAGTCATAGAATCCATCCAAAATTATGTTAGTAGATGCTAAAAACCCCATTTGACTGTATTTTTGTGGAAGATTGTGATCAAGTATCTTTTCCAATGCTGCTTCACTGAAGTTATTTTTGCGACCAATAGAGAGGTTAATTTCATCAAGAATATCTAAAGCACTGTAGCAAAGACACAAAGAATTGCTAAAAATATTGTTCCAATTCATTACAGTATTTCTCCTATCATACTATAATCTTTTATAAACAATTTATACATTATTGAAATACATCTGACTTCAGATATGTATCTATCAGTCTTTTCTAGTTCTCTGAAGACTATGCTCACTGTTATTGTTACTGGTAGAAAAACAAGATATAAATGAAGCAAAAAAGGAATTGATTGTAAATTTGATAATGGCAGCCAGATTAGTGATGGTTAAATATTGGAGACAGAATTGGGTTATTCAAAGAAATGAGCGGTATTATGAAATATGAAATATGGCAATAAATGATAAAGTAACAACAGAAATTAAATTTAAAAAAGGGATGATTAAAGTAAATAATTATAATGAAATATGGGATGATTTTATAAAAACAGTCTTGGTGGAAGACAAAGGGAATAAAATAAACCTGCTCAAGAATATATGCTGTTTTAGAAGGGATAAGAGCACATTTGAAATATATTGTATATTGTTAGTTGTTATATGAGAAGAAATATAGGTAATAAAAATAGTCTCGGGGGGATGCACTGTAGTATTTGTATTTTTATACTGTTTTTTTATTTAGACATATGTGTTATGTTTGTATTATTTGTATTTGAATAAAATAAAAATAAAAATTTAAAAAAAATTAAGACCATGCTCACAAAATAAAACAGAATGGGACAAGAGGAAAGATAAGTAAATTTACATGGTAGTAAAAGTAGTCAAAAGGTAGCAAAATCACAAAACCAGCAATTGAAATGTTGTTGATATCCTATAAGTTCTCATTAGACTTGCATGAAATCTCAGGAATTTTGGAAATATTTTATTGGGGATACCAACTGGAAGTAAGGCAAGCTCCCTGGTTCTGTCAGTGCTGTTTCTGATCTATGTGTAAGCCTATGCATGACTAATCACTTTTTGCCATTATCTAATTCTCTTTGACAATATTTGTTTGCATTTAAGTAATTTAACTTTCATTTCCATCTTACATCATCTTCTCTTAATCTGATGCCATTCTCTGATGTGTTGGTACACAATTCTTATCATTTTACTGAACATAGCTAAGCATAATCATGTGCCAAGAGGATTCATTATTTATTATAATTTATAGGATACCTACGAAAGAGTGTGTATTAGTGTGTTCCAATTATCCCATAATAAAACAGATGAAACACAAAATCTAAAAATTCAAAAATTTAAAGGCCAACACGACTGGTGTAAAGATGCAAAAAAAAGACAGCATAAAAATTACAATAAATAATAAACTAATAATCTTTTAAAATAAAAAATATTCTTTATATTATGAAAAGCATACTCTCAGACACAAAACTTTTATTAGGCTTCTATCAGAAAAAAGACTGACAAAAATGAAGAAGTGATGTGAGATGGGTGATGAAATGGAATATCTAATGCGACATGTGCCTGGTTAGTCCCTAAATATGGGTACACTTACAGTGTAATACAACATGAAGACAAGATGGATATAAGTCAGCATTAAAACAATGATGTGATACCACCATCACCAACACTACCTCTTTGGCATCTCAACTCACCCCAGCCTGGTCATTTCAGCTGCTGTTAACTCATCACTTGCACAAACCATAACAGCCCAACAAGCATTTCTTCGGACTTCATCATTCTTAGAATGCAGAAGCTTAACAAGAGGTTCAAGACCACCAGAATTTCGTAACTGAAAGACAATTTTTATATTTATGTATCTGTTTGTTTGTTAAATTTATTTGCTGTCCATCTTGCTGTGGGGCTACTCTGTGTGGCTTACAGCAATAAAATAGGAAAAATGAAAAACAAATGTAACAATAGCAAAGAAACACACACAATGGAGGTGCAATAATATGAAATTAAAAGAAGATGGACAGAGGGGAAGCAGGAAGTGCAGGGGGGAGATGGGATCAACTAATTAGTCCTGCAGCCACCTCCAATGATGCACTCCCTTATTGGGTCTCCAAGCCAAATCAACTGGCAGAACCAGGTCTTCAGGCCCTTTTGAAGGAAAAGAGGGGCAAACTTCACCCTGGGGGACAGGATGTTCCAGAGGGTTGGTGCTACAGCAGAGAAGGCTCTTCTGGATCCTGTCAGATTTCCTTGACAGACAGGATCCACAACAGGGCTCCTCTGCTGGCATAATAGGCTTGTCATATTAAATAGGTTGGCAAGGGCTGCACTCAACTAAGGAGCAAGATTGCTGCCAAGAATGCTTACTCAATTAGGACTGAATAGTTAAGGCTATGCTTATAGTGAAATAGCACAAGAGATTTCCTTTCTAGCCAAGGTAAGGTAAATCCTGCAAAGAGAAATAGAAGGAGTTGGCTTTTTCCACAAGGAGTAAGATAGGAGGTTTAAAGTATCCACTAATGAGACTGGATGTTATAAAATTATTTGGTCTCACCTGCAATTGAAATTGGCAATTTTATTTTATTAAGCAAAGCAGTCACCAAATTAAACTGTGACTATGTTTATGACCTTGATTTAGCTTTCCTTTTTTTTACCTGCAAAGGTCATAATGTTACTTTTTATCACCATGGTATCTATAATAATAATAATAAAGTTGGAAGGCACCTTGGAGGTCATCGAGTCCAACCCCCTGCTCAGGCAGGAAACCCTACACCATTTCGGACAAATGGCTGTCCAGTCTTTTCTTAAAAACTTCCAGTGTTGAAACATTCACCACTTCTGGAGGCAGGTTGTTCCATTGGTTAATTGTTCTAACTGTCAGGAAGTTTCTCCTTAGTTCTAGGTTGCTTCTCTCCTTGATTAGTTTCTATCCATTGCTTCTTGTCCTGCCTTCAGGCGCCTTGGAGAATAGCTTGACTCCCTCTTCTCTGTGGCAGCCCCTGAGATATTGGAACATGATATCATGTCCCCCCCTTGTCCTTCTCTTCATTAAACTAGACATATCCAATTCCATCAACCGTTCCTTATATATTTTAGCCTCCAGTCCTCTAATCATCTTTGTTGCTATTCTCTGTACTCACTGCCCATTGAGCTCTGTACTCACTGCCCATTACCACTCTGTACTCACTGCCCACTGAATGGTCACTGCCCAAGATAGCCTACCTAAACTACCAATCAGCGAAATGGCTGTAATGCTGGCAACTGCTGAAGCTGCTAATTAGTGGACTTTTCTACCTCCTGCTACTGTATTGCTCTCCTTTACTGGTTCCTATTCACTTTCTATTTCTGAAAAAGCAACGAAGGAATTGATGAGGGACAGCTGTTAACTTTCTACAAAGTGGTGCAGAAACACTTTTCCCTGAGGAAGAAGCATGTGAATGGGTAACATCAGAAAGAAAGAGGTGACTGGCTATACCGTGGAAGGAAATCTAGCAAGAATATATTGCAGTAACATTGTGCCTTCCCTAAAATCTGAAACCCTGTCTATCCACTAATAAGAAATGTTATTGCAGCTTTTTCAAATTATTTAGATACTAATTTGTAACAACAAAATTGCATGCTTATTTATAAGCAGATGGATCTGTGAATAAATGCATCTCAACTAGAACATAGTGATTGCATCAGATGTTGACTAATATAAAACTTAAATGTAAACATTTAAAATTGTGTTTGGAGAGTTAACAAAGTTGCCATGTTGCCAATCCCTGAGCCCAAATATATGCAAATAGCTTTAAACTGACTAGTAGCATTGAATTTCAGAGTAAGGTTTCTCTTTGTATTATTTGATAGGGCTGTGTAAAGCATTCAAAGAGGGTGTTTTGCAAAGGAGGTGGGGGGGGGGAGAAAGCATCCCTCCTCAAAATTTTAAAGTAGCCATGTCTATAGCTGCTTTACATTGCTGGCAATCCCAGTAGAAGTACTATCTGTGTATCCACGCACGAGTAGACACCTGGAGAATGGCTTTGAAGCAGCCCTCAGACTTCCAGGTGAAGCTGCCAGCGACAAAAATTTTGTTGTACAACAAGCTTTACAAAGTGCATCTTCAAAATGCTTTTTGCTGTCCTGTGATTTTATCACAATTGTAAATGGAAGCCTGGTGTCTAGGCAATTTTCTACATGGAAAAAATGAACTTTGTAACAAAATAATTATCTGTTTCTGTTGATTACACCCAACATTTTTTACCATGCACACTGTAACAAGTATAAAATTTCTCCTCAGGGTTTACATATAGTAGAGCTAAACTAAAGCTGACCTCACTTAGATACTTTTTTCTGATTCCCAGTTCAATTTTTAACCCGCCTGTCCTTTTAAATTTTTCAGATCTAGCTGAGAAGGCACAAGGTAACTAGCATGAATATAAGCATTGAAGATTGTTTATTGAAACTGACAATTTTACACAATCAAGTATCAATATCAGAGAACCAAAACTTTTACCTGGCAATACAGCAAAATATGCTGATCCAAGAAAGCCGTGTGATATGAAAAATGCCAGGTTTTGTTTTTTCCAATATAGAGGACAGAGATGTCCCTTACCTCAGTTCTGGCCTCAGCATCACAGCCCATAGCAGCCACAGAAAGAGCTGCTCTGCTCTGCACAATGCTGTTAGTGGAATTCAATGGTTCTACAATGGCAGTCATAAAACCATGGCTTTGGATGGTGAGGCGTAAGGGCTCCTGCATGGCTAAGTTTGTGAGAACAGAGGCAGCACTAGCCACAGCGCCATCTCTTTTGCAGCTCAGAACACTAATTAGCGGTTCGATGGCTTCAGCTTCAGCAACAGCACTAGGAAGTGGGAAAAGGAAATAACCACAAAGATGTATTACTCTTCCCCAGGCTTATGGTAATTAAATCATACATACTGAAAGTACAACTATAAAAATTCAATAAAACTAAAATATTTTTAATGAAAATATAAGAAAAACAATGAAATTTGCAAACTCCGTTAGTTAAAAAAACCAGACCCAGTAATATTAAAATCTGATTTAATTACAATTAAATTCAGACTTGAGTGATAACATCTCATTCAGGGGAAGGCTTGAGAATATGAACATGTCTTGAGGATGTTCTTCAAATCTAATATGGTGGGACCTGATGGCAGCCCTTTTCCTGTAAGCTCAACTACTGTGTTTCCCGGAAATAAGACCTGGAGTTGTTGGGTTTTTTTGCCTCCCAAAGAGGCACCAAGTCTTATTTTCTGGGGGTGTCTTTTCCATTCACCTCACAGCAGCAGCATTGGCAGCCCCATCCAGCCAGCCCACTTCTGCGGCCAAAGGGGCACCTTCATTTTGCAGCTGAGAATGGAGCTCCGCCCTGCATTTTGCAGTCAGAGGCCTTTCCAGAAGGCCTATGCAGCCGAGAACCAAGCTATGGATTGAATCCATAGCTCGGCTCTCAGCTGCAGAGGCCTTCTGGAAAGGCAGCAAACTGCACATATCCATCATTTATTATTTTCATTTACCAATTGTAATTGCAACAAAATTGCAGTATTTACTGTCTAACTATTGTTCCATGATTTGGTTGTGGCTTCCAAGTTTTGCTCAATGCTCTGACTAGTTTATCCAGATGTAGAGTCTAAGCAGCAAGAAAGTAAGGCAATACAAATCAGGAATTAAACAAATAAGCTCTAATAGGATGCTTTATTTATTTATTTGTTTGTTTATTTATTATTTATTTGGCTTGTATGCCACTTATCTCACCTAGAAGTGATTAGAAATGACAATAAACATGAAAGACTTAAAATTTATTATGTTTAAGGGCCACTGAATTTAATGTCATTATTAAATAGGTCTGCGCAGGATTATAGCTTTACAGAATAATCATATTCTTATACATATTTACTTAAAAAATAACTGTACCAGGATTCATTGTTTTTTCATAGATAAGTATTTATAATTGTCCCACCTTAAATTAGAGTATATATCATACCAAGTATTTTATTTAACTAGAAGTGCTTTAAAAATAAAAATAGCTTGTAGAGAAAACTCAGGTCATTCATTGGACTCATTCATTTATTCATTGTATTAATATTTCATTTTTCTTCCAGGAAGGTAATAGGGTTAATTACATTCCTTCTTCTTTTTTAATGTGTATTTTATTAATTTTTTACAGTAAAAATCTTAGTATTTAATAAGCAATACTTTGTCTGGGTTTATGTATTTAACATTAATAGCAATACAATTTCCATTCCTCATTATTTTGTAATTTCTTTCCCATAGGATTTGCCATTTTTCTAACTCTACATTATGCCCAAAGTTTTTTGCCCAAGTTATCATTGTTTCTTTAACTTGTTCTTCTTCCATCTTTAAATTTAACAGAAAGCTGTACAGTTTCTTAATCAGTTGTCATCTGATGACAATAGTATCTGGTCTAACGTTGTCCGGTCTTTGTAAAAACCATATATTTTTGCATCTTTCTCATATCTCATTTGCATTTGCAGGTGTGGCCACCATGATAGCTCAATGTCCTGTTCTTCCAATTCTTGTTTAGTTTGTAGTTTCCCATCAGTATTCAAAATACCTTTATAAGTCATAAGTTTCTTATAATTGATTAAGTTTGGATGTACAAACGCCTCCATTGTCGAGATCCATCCTGGTATTTTCATGTAAGTTCTTGATTTTACCTTTTCCCATGTCAAGAGCAATGCATTTCTTACATAGTGGTTTTGAAAGTATTTGTGAATTTTGTTTTTCCCATATTACAAGAAAGCAAGTCATCCAAGTTGTAGGTCAGTGATGGCGAACCTTTTAGAGACCAAGTGCCCAAAACCTGGCCCGACTGTGTTCCACCCCCTACTCCAACCCCACCCTGTCTGCCCGCAGGGCCACTCACCGCCTCCAGGGCCCACTGCAGATCGCCCAGGCAGCCCAGCAGTGCCATGGTGGCCATGCTTTCTGCCCGCACCCCGCAGCATCAACTGCGTGCGATGGGGTGTGAGGGCACAGTTTTATCTACACTGCCTGGCTGCCATGTCCTTGGCTGTGCTGCTGCACATGGGCCACACTCAGGGACAACTCTCCTCCAGGGGGGCTGCTGATGAGCAGGTCACGGGGGGAGGCAAGGCTGGGGCAATGGCATGTGTGCCCACAGAGAGGGCTCCAAGTGCCGCCTCTGGCATGTGTGCCTTAGGTTCGCCACCACTGTTGTAGATCATGCCATTCTAAGTATAATAGTCTTTTATTTCTAAGAGTTATCCATTCTTTTAACCATGTTAGTGCTGCTGCTTGATAGTACAAAACCCAGTTTGGTAGGCCAAAGCCTCCATTTTCTTTTGCTTCTTGTAACATTTTCAGTCTGATTCTAGCTTTTTTCCCTTGCCGGATAAATTTCAATATCGATGTATTTAATTCATCAAAAAAATTGTCAATTTTTATCGGTATTGCTTGAAATAAAAAGAATGGTTTTGGTAAAATGTTCATTTTCGCCATCACTGTTCTTCTCAGGATTGATAGTTGTAGATTTTTCCATTTTTCCAAATCTAGTTTTATTTTAATAATTTTACATAATTGTCTTCTTTTATTGTTGCACATCTTGCTGTTAGATATATCTTGAAGTATTTAACTTTCTTAACTACTTGCACGTCTGTTTTACTGATAATTGGTTCTTTTGTTTATCTCTGAGATTTTTAACTATAACTTTAGTTTTTTCTCTATTAATTTTCAGTCCTGCTACTTCTCCAAATTCTTCAATCTTTGCTAATAATTTAGGACTTGTCTCTAACAGATCCTCCAATATAAATATCAGGTCATCTGCAAATGCTTGTAGTTTGTACTTTTCATCTTTTATCTCCATTCCTTTGATTTCTGGATCGTGTCTAACATTCCTGTTCAACACTTCCAAAGTTTAGATAAATAATAGTGGAGATAATGGACATCCTTGTCTTGTGGCCTTTTTAATATTGAAGCTCTCTGTGAAATCTCCATTTACAATTATTTTAGCCATTTATCTATGATAAATTGTTTGGAATATATTAATAAAATTTTCTCCAAAATCCATATAGTTTAGTTGTTCAACCATAAATTGCTAATTGATGTTGTCAAAGGCTTTCTGTGCATCTAAAAAATCAAAGCCATTTGTTTCCCTGGGTGCATTTCATAATACTCCAATGTGTCTAAAATTATTCTTAAATTGTTCTTTATTTGTTTCTTTGGTAAAAATACATTTTGGTCTGAATGTATAAATTCAATCAAGAATCTCTTTAGTCTTTCTGCTATTATTGAAGCAAAGATTTTATAGTCCACATTTAGTAGAGATATTGGTCTGTAGTTCTTTATCAGGGTCAAGTCTGTGTCTCCTTTGGTATTAGCGTAATATTGGCATCTATCCATGTATTTGGTAATTTGGCTTTAACTGGTAAAATTAAATTGGTAAAATTAATTGGTAAAATTAATGTAATGTATCTTGTAAACATTTGTAAAATTCTGCCTGTAGCCCATCTGGGCCTGGTGTCTTATCGTTTTTTTGTCTGTTTATAGCTTCTGTCAACTCCATCACTGTTATTTTCCTATTTAGCATATTTTTGAAATTCTCTGAGATTTTTGGTAACTTAACATTTTCTAAGTATTGCCTTATTTTTTCCTGAGGAATTTCTTCTATATTATAATCTGTTTCATAAAATTATTTAATTATTTTTATTGCATCATTTTGACATTGTAAATCGCCTCTCACATCTTGTAGTTTGTTTATCGATTTCTTCTCTCTTTCTTTTTTCAGTTTATAAGCCAACCGTCTCCCCGGCTTACTGGCATTTTCAAAAAACTTTTGTTTTGCTCTTTTGATTTGTTGAGCCATTTCATCAGCTTCTATTAGATTTAATTTGTGTTTTATTATCTCCATTTGTTTTTTAAGAGTTTTCTTTTGTGGGTCTCTTCGTAGTTCTAATTCTAATTTTGTAAGTTCTTCTTTGAGCTTAGTTTGTAGTTTTTTGTCTTTCATCTTTTTCACCATATAGGTTATGGCTACTCCTCTAAATATGCTTTTGTTGTACCCTAGAGTGATGTATCTTCTTTCTTATTTTCTTTGAAGAAAAATTCCATTTCCTTTATGGCTTTTTGTATAAATTCTTTCTCTTTCAGTAAGAATTGGTTTAAAGTCCATTTTGCTTTTTTCGTTGTTCCTCTCTAAGTCATCTTTATTGGATTGTGGTCCACCCATATGTTAGTTTCTATCTTAATTTCTTAATTCAGGGGATACCCGTATCATGTCAATTCTGGACCATGGTTTGTGGCTGTTTGAATAAAATGTATATTGGGATTTCTTAGGATTTATTTCTCTCCATATATCCTGTATACAAATTTCTTCTGCCATTATGAAAAAAGCCTTAAAATATTCCTTCCTTTTCCCCCTATTTTACTACTCCTGTAATCTAACTTTCCATCTACAATTGTGTTAAAATCTCCTATTAGACAAATACTTTGGTACTCCAGTATTTTCTTGTATAATCTTTGGTAGAATTCTTCTTGTTTGTTATTCGGTGTGTAAATTGCTACCATCAATGTCTGTTTTTGATTTATCATTATTTCTATCATTAGTATTCTTCCTTCTTCATCCAAGTAGATTTGTTTAGGATTCATTGTTTCTTTGATATATAGAGCTACTCCTCTTTTCTTTTGTTGTGCTAATGAAAAATAAAGTTTCCCAATTTTTGAGCCCTCCAGAGATTTATAATATTGTCTTTTAATATGTGTTTCTTATAAGCAAACTATATCCATTTTTTATTTTTGTAATCGTGTAAAGAGTTTTTTCCTCTTTACAGGGAAATTTAATCCGTTTATATTTATTGAGAA